CCAGCCGCGCGCGCGCGCGAGCGGGCCCACGTCGAGCGAGTCCTCGAGCTTCAGGACGACGTCGAAGCGGTCCTCGAGCACGCGCGCCGCGACGTCGACGTGCGAGGCGTTGAGCGCGCCGACGGCCACCTCCCGGAAGACCTTGCCGCCGTTGAGCGTGCGCACGAGGAAGTTGTCGAAGTAGCCCAGCGCGTGGGCCGCGTAGCGCTCGCCGACGAAGCCGAGCGCCGCGTCGCGCGGCGCGAGGCCCCGCGCCGCCGCCTTCTCGAGGAGCGCGCCGACCTCCGCGGCGTCGACGTCGTTGTTCCGGAGCGTGGACCGCGCCGTGTCCAGCGGCCGCCGCAGCGTCAGCCCGTACGCGAACTCGGCGCAGCCGACGTCGCTCCGCTCGAGCGGCCGCTCGACGAACGTGAACGACGCCTCGGGCTGCTCCGCCAGGAGCTCGGCCTTCTCGCGGCAGGTCCGGTCCTTGTCGAAGGCGAGGTTCCAGTTGTGCGTCGCCGGCTCCAGCGGCTTCTCGCCGTTCGCCTCGGCGTGGAGCCGCAGGGACGTGCCGCCGGCGTTGTGCACGTGCAGCCAGAGCATGGGCTTGCGCCGGCAGCCGCCGCGCTCCGCCGCCGCGGCGGCGCACGCGACGGCGACGCAGCAGCGAAGCGCGCGGTTCATACGGGCCTAGCGGGTCGAAGGCCCACCAATTTTTTTTTGCGGACCCATGCGCTCCGCTGCTCCTGCGTGAGTGTTGGCACTGTTGGACTAGTTATTGAAGGGGGTGCGCACCCGAAGATCCCGCCCGGAGACTCACCCTGCCGTTCAAGGACTAACAGATACTACCAGAATTGGTCTCATGCGAGAGTCGACCACGGACAAAAGATCCGACGGCATCCCCCAGTGGGTGGGTGGGCCCGGAGGTCGGGTTTTAAAAACCCGACGTGTACTTAAAGGGTACTTGTAACGCGCGCGCGCGCGCGCGCGGAGGCCGCGCGCGTCCCGCGTCCCGCGCCGCGCCAGGAGCCGGGAGGAGGTGCCATGGGCCACGGCGGTGTCCTCGTCGAGTCGGGCCGCGCCCGGCTTTCGTCGGCTGACCCGCGGCTGCACGGTGGCGGCTCCTGCAGCGGCACCGGCGACTCCCGGTCGAACTGCGGCGCCGCGCGGTCCCGCGCGCGCGGTGTGGCAATTCAGCGATAACCAGCGGCGCGCGACGCGGCAACTTGAAGGCAACCAACGAAAAAGGAGCTCGCTGATTGGCCGGGAGGTGGGTGGGTGGGCGCCGGTCGCCGGCACCAAAAATCCGGCATGCCGTCGGGTATTGTTTTTTAGGTAGCCTCCTGTCTCATGTTAAAATCACTGGTCTCAATCTCCGTATGCGTCTCCGCCTCCACACCGACAATGTTGAAACTGTTGCCAGGCTGTTGGCGTGCTTGACAATGCGTCGCCTTGCTGGCGTGCGCTGCGCGATCGATTTGAGATAGGCGGATAGCATGCGAGCCGCGGCCGTCGTCGCCCTGCTGGCCTGCCGCGTTGGCTGCGTCAACCTCGGCCACCAGGGCGGCTGGGTGCGCACGGCGCCGCGGCACGAGTACGGCGCGTCGTGCTGGCTCATGAAGGCCCGCTACAATTGCCAGAACGACACGCGCAGCCCGCCGGCGGACGCCTGGGCCCACGTGCAGAACAGGGCGACGAACGCCACCTGGCGCGACTTCGTGGGCGCGCGCGGCGGCCACCTCGCGGCGGCGCGCGCGCACCGGCGGAGCGCGAACCGGACGCGGACGAACGTCGTGCTCATGGGCAACTCGTACCTGCGCCAGGTCTTCGAGGCCATGGCCTGCCGCTGGGACGCGACGATCACCGCGGGCCTCCTGCAGGTCCGTGGGCCCGAGATGCACATCGAGGACATCGCGGCGCAGAAGCGCACGAGCGTCGCCGACCGCGGCTTCCGGAGCCTCCCGTTCGGCGACGTCGCGCGGCCGTCGTGCCACGGCAACGACGCGGAGCGCTACTACGCGCTCGGCGTGGCCCCGTCGGTCGCGGGCTGCAACGACAACCTGGCCATGGTCGAGTTCGCCAAGGACCTCCGCGCGTACTTCGTGTTCCGGCCCTGGTCCTACGAGGAGGACGCGATCGACGTGCTGCGCGCGCTCGACCTCAAGGCGCGCGACGTCGACGTCCTCGTCTGCAACGAGTACTGCGGGCTCGTCGCGCCCCCGAAGCGCGCCTTCGGCCTGACCACGGAGGAGGCCGTGCTCGGCGAGCGGCGCGACGCGTTCCGGGCCGCGCTCGGCCGCCGGTCCGGCGACGCGGGACCGACGTTCGTCGACTTCGACCGCGTGCGCCGCACGGCGCCTTTCGACGAAACGCAACGCGGGCGAGGACCGTCGCGCGTCGCAGGTCCGGGCGACGCTGAAGGCGCAGATGAAGCGCGACGTCGGCCACGCGTACGGCGCGACGAACGCGGTCCTCCGGGACGACAACCACCCGTGCCTGCCGGGCATCCCCGACGACGAGGTGGACATCCTCTTCAGCGCCCTCGCGGACCGGGGCCACGCGCAGCGCCTCGGCTACGTGCCCGCGCACAAGGAGGAGTTCTGGCGCGCGCCGCCGCCGGAGGACGCGCGGCGCGCCACATCCACGACGAAGGCCCCCGAGCTCAAGGGCCGCTGCGGCCGGGCCGCGCTCGCGGAGGAGAAGAAGTGCAACAAGAAAGAGCGGTGCAAGTGGGTCTTCGGTTCGCACGCGTGCATGTCCGACTGCACGCTCAAGAACGAGGAGGAGTGCGACAAAAAGCACCACTGCACGTACAACGAGAAGAGGGGCTGCAAGCCCAAGAAGCACGAGGCGCCGTCGCGGTAATGGTGTACTGCAACATTGGCGTCGTCGGGTTATGCTGGTTTGTACCCTCTTGAATATGGCGGCCCCTCGCATCATTCTGGCTGGCCTGTCCATCGTCCTGGCCGGCGCCGACGACTCGCTGCGCCTCGCGGCCATCAGCGGCTCCTTCGATGGCTGGGACGCGGCCCAGGCCCTCGCCGAGGTGCAGCCCGACGTCGACCGCCTCGTCGCCCACTGCGCGGCGCGGCGCACGTCGTTCACGAATAAGGTCGTCGCCTACGCCGACACGCGGGCGAAGGGCCCGCGGAATCTCGCCCTGGCCGTCGTCGCGCTCGCGCAGCTCCTCGAGTCCGGCGTCGTCGGCGCCGCGGCGCGCGCCGCGGCCTACGACGAGATGATGGACCTGGCGCTGCTCCTCAACGGCACGTTCGTCGACATGTACGGAACCGTCGAGGAGAAATCCATGCGCGGCTGGCCCTTCGTGATCAAGGGGACGACGCCCGAGTTCGACAGCTACCAGGGCGGCCACGTCGCGGAGGCCGTCGCGCTCGCCGCGGAGCAGGCGGCCGTCGCGGGCGCCCGCGGCACGGCGGCGAGCCTCGCGGGCGCCGTCGCCGCGTTCCTCCACGACGGCTTCCTCACGGGCGACCCGGAGCGGACCAAGGTGGCGTCGCCGGGCGTCGTGGTCTACGTGCCGGACTTTTCGAGCGACGGCCGCCGGGCGCGCTGGGCCGAGCACCACGGCCACACGCCGATCGACTGCCTCGGCGAGCCCCAGGCGCTGAACCACGGCCTCATGGCCGCCCAGGCCGGCGTCGCCCTGCTCCGCGCGCACGCCGCGATCGACTGGGACGGGGCCCGCTGGGCGGTCGCGGACGCGGACGGCGCGCCGCTCGGCCGCGAAACCTTCGTCGCGGACCTCGAGGCCTTCGTCGAGGCGTCGACGAAGACGCTCCGGCGCGCGCTCAAGAAGAAGCGGACGAAGGCCAAGGCCGCGGACCGCTACGAGGGCCCCGTCGGCACGGCCTGGTACAAGTGGCGGTACCGCGACGTTTCCGGCTGCGAGGCGTACGCGGGCTCGCCGATCAAGGATAGGTGGGAAGACGTGGGCCACTCGCTCTACGAGGCCGAGTACGTCGCCAAGGTCCGCGCGCTCGGCGCGCGCTACTACGGGTCGAGCAAGCGCTTCGGCCTCCGGCGCAAGCACGTGCGGCGCCTGCTCGTGACGTGCCTCAACCGCCTCGTCCGCGACCGCGCCGCGGTCGGCGGCGCGCGCTTCGCCTGCGACGTCCACGGCTCGGTCACGAATGAGAAGAGCTGCCGGCTCGGGCGCCAGGAGAGCGAGCGCCACCTCTACATGCCCAACCACCTCGCCCTCGCGACGGCCGCGCGCGACGACCCCAAGGCTCGCTGCGACGCGCTCAGCCTCGTCGACGTCGTGCTGCCGCTGTTCTTGGAGGGCCACGCCGACTTCCACGCCCACGGGCCTGAGGGCGTCGGCGGCATCTGCGACAAAGGCTCGCTCATCTCGGCGCTCATCGACGCGAAGTACCACTTCTACTGGTACGAGCACGGCCGCGCCGCGTGCCTCGCGTCCTCGCGATGAATTCGGTTCGAATTAACAGTTACGACCAGCTCCCCCGCCGGTCGCGGCGCGGCGTCGCCCACTCGCGCCAGGCGTCGGACCGCTGGAAGCGCGTGAAGATGTCGAACAAGACCTCCCGCTTGATGTCGTCCGACGCGCCCTCGAGGTCGACAAGGGACACGGGCGTGGCGTCCCGCAGCGCGGCCCTCGCCGCGGCGACGCGCCGGCTCGACACGTTCACGGAGCGATCCGACTCCGGGTCGAGGAACTCATCGAAGAACCGCTTGGCGCTCTCGTGGGGCACGCGCTCGGCCTCGTCGCAGCACCGCCGGAGCTCCGCGAGCGCGCGCACAAAGTCCAGTAACTCTTTCGCGTGCTCGCGCTCGACGAAGTCCTCGAGGAGCCGCGAGGTCTCCGGGTGGCACAGCGTGCGTTCGAGATCCCACTCGGCGGCGTCGACGGGCGCGTCGACGGCCGCGAGGATGGGCTCCGGCGCCCACGTGCCCCGCCGCTCGCGGCCGCGGCCGAAGACGCGGCCGTCGCCGCCCCGCCGCTCGCGGCCGCGGCCGAAGACGCAGCCGTCCGCGAAGAACGCGCAGCGCTGGTCGTCCTCGGCTTGGGGCGCCTCGGCGTCGAGCCGGTCGCGCTCCTGCTCGCAGCGCCAGAGCGCGTCGCCCCGCGCGATCTCCTCGTACTCGTGGAGCCCGATCGCACTCGTGATGTAGAGGCGATAGGCCTTCTTCAACGCGATGGAGGCCGCGGGCGACGGCGGCGCCACGGCGGCGCGGTCGCGGTCGACGGTGTCGAGGCTGTCGACGTTGATCCTCGTCTCGAAGCGGTGGCGCGCGTCGCTCTCGATGAGGACGGCGTGCTGTTCCGGAGTTATCTGACCGGAGGCGAGGAGCTTGTCGGCCGACGCCGCGGCGGCGGAGCGCTGCGCCTCGCGAGGACCCCGGGGCATGCGGATCGCGGCCTGCTGACGCGCGGCGCCCATGGTGTTGGCTTCCCGAGGCTGCCCACGCACGGCGCGATCGGGATTCTCGGCCAATTGCGCGCTTTTCGAGTTTTCGGCTGCAATATCGGCCTGCGACCTCGACGGCATGCGACGGAACAGCTAGAGGCAGCCCCCGCGCGCGCTTCCCGCCCATGGCCGCGCTGGCGCGGTTCAGCGAGGAGGACGCCTGCTGGTGGCTCGACGAGTCGGCGACTTTGACCATCCTGCGGAAGGACGACGACAGCCACCCGCTCTACCGCATCGTCATCTCGTCCGCGGCCGACGCCGAGGAGCGGCGGTTCCTGCAGAGCGACTTCGTCAAGTTCAGCAAGCTGCGCGACGCCCAGAAGACCGTGGAGCGGGTGCTGGCGCCGCGCGGCGCCTTCCCGCCGTCCTACGCGAAGTCGCGCTTCGGCGCGTCGCTGTCGCGGAAGGAGCTGGAGAAGCGCACGGGCCTGCTCGAGGACTACCTCGCGGGCGCCCTGCGGTCGACGGCGTCGAGCGACGACCAGCCCTCGGAGGCCGACCGGTCGGCGCTCCTCGAGGCCCTGCGGCTCGCGGAGGTCGACGAGGTCGACGAGGCCGCCGTCGCGGACGCGGCCCGGCGCCGCGCGGAGTCGTTCTCCAGCGACGGCTCCGGGGACCGGCGCATGGTCAAGTCCTTCTCGACGGCGGCGCGGGGGTCCGCGCGGCTCGCCGAGGAGGACACGCGGCCCAAGTCGGAGACGGCCGCGGCGGCGGCGGCGAAGAAGCGCGGGCTCGGGTCCGCGCGGTTCTCGCTGTCGGGCTTCGCGAAGCGCGAGAGCGAGGTCGGTGGCGCCGACGAGCACTGCCTCGCGCACCTCGCGTCCGGGCCCGTCGGCGTCGCGTTCGCGCCGGACAAGTGGCCGCCGACGGTCTCGGCCGTCACCGACGCGCGGCTCAACGTCCGCCCGGGCGACGTCGTCACCAAGGCGACGGTGCGCGACGAGGGCAAGGTCGTCGAGACGGACTGCGCCCTCCTCACGGGCGACCAGCTCGAGCTCATCCTCGCCGCGGACGACCACGCGAAGGGCCGCGTGCTCCACGTCCAAAAGGCCCGCGCCGCCGAGGCCCGCGGCTCGACCAAGGCCAAGGGGCTCTGGGGATCCGCCCTGCGGAAGACGGCCCTCGTAGCCGCCCTGAAGAGGAAGTAAAGCCTTAGTCGTCGCGGGCGCTGTGCCAGAACGTGAGGACGAGCGAAAAGATGTCGTCGGGGACGTCCTTGCGGAGGAAGAGCCGCTCGTGCGCGCGGACGCTCGACGACGGCGCCGCGCGGCCGCGCTCGCGGAGGGCCGGGAGGCGCCGGCGGAGGGCGAGGAGCTCCTTGCGCGGGGCGTTGACGTAGGGGAGCCAGCCGCCCGCGGCGCGGACGGCGGCGAGGAAGTCGGCCGTGGTCGTGTGGTCGTAGGCTCGCGCGCGGGCCTCGGGGTCGTCGCCGTCGTTGTTGCGCGCGTCCAGCGACGCGCCGCGACTCAGGAGAAGCTTGCACATCTTGGAATTATTGCGCCGGGCTGCGAAGTGCAGCGCGGTGTCGCTTGTCCCCGCGCGATCGTTGACCCGCGCGCCCGCGTCGAGCAGCAGGACTGCTGTGTCAGAATGGCCCCAATGAGCGGCGGTGTGCAGTGGCGTCAAGCCGAGGCTTGGGTAACCCAAGTGGACGTCGGCGCCGCGTTCCAGAAGCCAAGATAGGGCCGAGAACCAGCCCTCTCGCGCTGCAAAAAACAGGCGCGTCGGTCCATGTGATGCATCCTCGATGCGCACACCGCCATCCCCGTCTAATGTCACGTCAACTAGCGCATCGAGATCGCCGCCCGAAGCGTGATAGCGCGCAGTTTGGTCGATGAACGAACGCTCTCGAGAGCCGACCATCGTGAGACTCGGGCTGCTCGGGCTATTGTTGAACCGCTTCAAGCAAGCCATGTTCTATCTCCAGTGGCATTTTGCGAGTGCTTCTCTCCCAGCCACTCCGCGCGGATCCGCCCGCGCCGTGCTGCCTCGCGAGCCGCTTCTCCACGCCCGCGCGGTCCTCGGAACCCCCCTTTCCGACGATGGCGCCGCGGCCGTCCATCGCCTACAATGTCATCAGCTCCTTTCGCGAGACGTCTTTCACGGCGTCGCTGGACGCGCCGCAGGAGGCGGACGAGAACACGCGGAGTCCGAACCCGTTCCGCAACGTCGCGAGCTCGCTGCTCCAGATGAAGAACTTCCGCTACTCGCCGGCGCCCGCCGCCGACGGCGGCGACGCGCAGATGAAGAAGGAGGCGCGCGCGGCGTGGTTCGTCGAGGACGCGATGATCGGCGTCTTCGACCCCGTGGGCATGCTCAAGAAGCGCCTCGAGCACCGCGAGCTCTACGTGCGCTACGAGAACATGGTGCACCCGGAGCGCCTCATCTGCGTGCTCCTGCTCACGGTCGTGAGCTTCGTCGAGATCCCGCTCTGGTGCCTCGAGCGCCGGTCGGACGTCTTCGCCTGGGAGGACGCGCGCGCGCTCTGCGCCGCGCCGGGCCGCGTCTACCTGTCGGGCACGGACTACCTGCCCGTCGGCGCGACGCTCCTGGCCGAGTTCGCGTGCGTCGGGTACCTCGCGACGCTCGTCGGCATGGAGGCGGCGTTCGGCTTCCGGGACGGCGCGCGCTTCCGCGCCCGCGCCGCGGCGACGGCGGCCTACGCCGCGGACTGCGTGCTCTTCCTCGTCGCGGAGGTCGGCTTCGGATCGCACCCGGCCTTCCGCTTCGCGCCGTACCTGCGCGTCGCGCTGCTCGCGGTGAACGTGACGGCGATCTACGAGTCCTTCGAGGCCGTCGTCGCGCTGCTGCCCGCGTTCTTCAACGTGTCGGCGCTGCTGGCGCTGTGCGTGGGCATCTCCGGGTGGCTCGCGGCGATCACGTTCGACGACCTCGACTTCGAGAACCGCGAGGGCGTCGACGTCAACGACGGCTTCGACAGTTTAGGGACGTCGATCTACACCATGTTCTTCGTGTCGACGACGGCGAACTTCCCGGACCAGATGCTGCCGTCCTTCACCTACCGGCGGACCTTCGGCCTCTTCTTCTTCATCTACGTGCTGCTCGCGGTCTTCATCTTCCTGAACCTGATCCTCGCCGTCGTCTACAACGAGTACTCGGACTTCGTCAAGGGCCGGGTCATCGAGGCGAACCGGAACCGCGCCCGGGGCCTCAACGAGGCGTTCAAGCTCCTCGCGGACGCCAAGGGCGACGACGGGAGCCCGCAGATCTCGCGCGACGCCTTCGAGAAGCTCGTCGAGCACACGAACGACGTGGAGCGCGTGCCCCGCGTGGAAGCGGGCGAGGTCGCCTTCTTCTTCTCCATCATGGACGACGACAAGTCCGGCGCGATCTCCAAGGCCGAGTTCTACGACGTCTGCGACATCCTGCAGTACTCGTTCGTCAAGGTGCGGACGACGACGTGGCTCCAGCGAAACCGGCCGGACGTCGCCGCGTCGGAGGAGTACGCCCGGCTCGAGGCCTTCGTGAGATCGCCCCTCTTCCCCCGCGTCTCCATGGCCGTCCTGCTCCTCAACACGGCCGTCGTCTTCCTCTCGTCGTACCTCGACCTCGCGGACACGCTGACGCCCGGCGGCGAGGAGGCCTTCGCCGTCGTGGAGATGCTCTTCTCCATCGCCTACGCGGCGCTGCTGGCGGCCCAGCTCGCCGTCGAGCCCTTCGACGAGTTCTGGCTCCACACGTCGAACCGCTTCGACGCGACGGTGACGGTCGTGCTCTTCGGCGCGGCGGTCTTCTGGGCGCTGCCCTTCGTCGACGTGTCGCGGGACGTGCTCCACCGCCTGACCATCCTGCGCCTCGGCCGGCTCCTCACGGTCCTGAACCAGGTCGACCGCTTCCGCCTCATCTGCGAGTGCGTCGCGAAGATCGTCCCCGCGTCCACGGGCGTCGTCGGCGTCCTCTTCTGCGCCGGCGCGCTCTGGTCCGGCGCCGGCGTCCAACTCTTCGGGGGGCTCGTCTACGACGGCAACGGCGCGCTCGAGGGCTCCGACTACCTCGACAGCCACTACGACGTGCTCAACTTCAACGACTTCGCGATGGGCTTCCTGCCGCTCTTCGCCATGGTCACGTCCGGCGGGCCCTACACGGAGTTCGTCGAGGCGCTCAACGACGTCTCCGGCGCCAAGGGCGCGGGCTACTACTTCTTCGTCTCCTTCTACGTCGTCGGCGTCCTCATCTTCTTCAACGTCTTCTCGGCCTTCGTCATCGACGCGTTCCTCAGCCAGTACACGGAGGCGCGCGCGCTCGCCCACGACGACGAGGCCGACACCCTCGACCAGTCCTGCGTCGAGGAGGGGTACCGCATCGTCGCCACGCGCCGCTCCGCGCAGAACGACGTCTACCGCGCCATGTTCCTCGAGGACGACGACGGCGACGACGACGACGACGACGACGAGGGCGGCGTGATCAACTAGGCGCCCCGGCCCTGTAAACGTCTTTTGCTGCGCGAGGCGTCGCGCGCCTTTCGCCCGCGAGCGGCGCGGCGAGCGGTGCTCGAGCGACTCGTTGTCGTCACGCAAACCAAAGCCGCGGCGGGAGAAGCCGGGCTTTGCTCCGGCGACGGCGTCCGATGGCCGACGCGCTCCCCGTCCAAACTGCCGGGGATTGGTTTGCGGCCAGGGACGCCCGGTGGCTATACGTGACAAAAACAAGCGCTCGGATTGGGACGAATGGCTAGCCGTTTCGCTGGCCGGGCTTGAGTACCAAACACGTACGCGCGGGCCAGGAACGGCGACCTCTGAGGCCAAGCTTCCGACGCACGGCAGCCCGTTCTGGTGGTCGGAGTGGCCTTCCATGACCCCTAGGCGCAAGCCTGACCGTCGGTGCCCCCATCGGAGGTGGTTCTGGCGTCGACCAAATTCCACCGCGCGGGCCTCGTCTCCGCGGGGCTGCCGCGGCGTACAACTCCGTGGTCATGGCGCGCGCCACCATCGATGGCATTGGATACGCCCCTTGGTTTTGGGCGCGACGTGGGTGTGACGGCTGGGGTAGGCGGCCGTAGGCCATTTCCCTGCAGTTTAATCGACCACCCCGCCGCGCACGCAGGGGCGCCCACTTGCGCCTCGCCACTGCCACTAGACATCGGCCGATGGGCGCACCAGAACTCAGCGACTTCCGCACCGATTTGGTCGCTTCAAAGCCATGCTGTTCGTCACACACACCCTACGCGATGGTCCATCGACTTGGTTTGACGCGCGCCGCCGCGCGCACGCGAAAATCGGCTGGCACAGGCTGCGACGGCGGTCGATGGCGATGGTCCACGGGGTCACAGCGCGACCAGAGGCTACCTTGCCCGTCCCTTGGTCATCGCTGCTTGGTTTATGTGTGGACGGAACTGCGTGGACCGTTGGACGGACCCGGGAACCGGTTTTCGCACGCGCTCGCGACCTCGGCGCGCTGGCGCGAACGCTGTATCGAGACGCGCTTGTGTACGTCGAGAGAGGCTTCTCCGAGGCTGTACGAGCTACAGCGGCTGGCGCGCGGACCCCTACGACTCGGCCAAGGTGTCAGACACGTTACTGCGACGCCTTCATGGCCTCGACGGCATGGGCCCAAAAGCGCCGATATCGCCCTGGTGCCAGGCTCAGCATTCGCGCGCGCGTCGCGACGACTACGACCGCGCGTCGAGCTCCGAACGCGATGCCCGTCGAGTGCAGCGTCGTGGGCGCCCTGCGTTCGACTCCTCGCCCCCAAACCGGCCTTTTTCGAGCCCACCACGTCCAGAAATCGACCCATCGCCGCCGCGCTCCCAGCCATCGACTACCGAACACCCACGCCCCGCGCGAGCCCGGACGCGAGAGGGCTCCCTTGTGGCTACCTAACAGCGCCCTGGTGGCCCCATGGGGCGCCCTCCTCGCTGCCGAGGGCTGGGAGCGACTGGTGCTCAGATTTGACAAAATTAGCCCGGCGAAACAGCTCCGACGCTCTCCGAGCGCCTCAGAGAGCATGTGAGCTGATTTCGAGACCTTTTGCAGCCGCTATGGCATAGATTCCAGCCGTTCTTCTTCGTGTGCGCGCCCCGGACATGTTGCGACGACAACCACGCGCAAAAGTCGGCGCTCGATGCGGTCGCGCGCGTCCGGAATCGGCTCAAAAGTGGTCGATTTGCGAGTTATAGCCCATGGATCCAAGGTTTTGCGCGAGTTCGGGAATGTCAGACGCCACAGAGGCGGCGAACGTGACCCATGGTAAGCCCATCGTCGCACTGCACAAGTGGTCCCGCGTCGCGGGCTCCGTCGGCGTTTTTACAGCGTTCGAGAGCGTGTCGGCGTTTCGCTCGGGAAGCCTCGAACGCGCAGCCGTGGACTCGAAAACAGCCCCGATGGTCGTCTGGCGGTCCGGTCAGCTCGGTCTATGTACTGAGCGTCCTAAAACGACCAAGGGACGGGCAAAGCTGCCTCGGGCGACTCGATGACCCCGAATCGACTCGAAATCATCAAATCCGAGCACCTGGCGCGGCCGCGGTGGCCGCGCGCGCGCGTCGCTCGGTAACAAATAAGCTTTGGCCGACCTCCTAGGACTGATGCGCCGCGGGGCCACCGAAAACCGCACCCGAATCGGTGTCGACGCCGCCGAGAACGAGCTGCGCAGGCCGCCGCCGATGTCGAGTGGCGGCCTCCAGCCAATCAGGGCGCAAGTGCGCCGCCGGCGCCACTGGCGGAGCAAAGCCCGGCTTGCGGGAGGTGCGAGATGGGCTTCGCCGCGCGCGTGTGCGCGCCGCTCCTGGCCCTCGTCGCACTGACAGCTGCGGTCGAGGACGGCTGGCGATGCACCGACGGCCACAACAACTGCCAGGAGTGGTCCTACAAGGGCGAGTGCGACAAGAACGCCGCCTACATGACGGCGACCTGCCCCTACTCCTGCGGCCACTGCAGACGCGAGGCCGGTGCGGCGGTCGACGCGTCCGGGAACGCTGTGGCGGCCCTGACGAGCCACAACGTCTCCGGCGTCTTCGACGACCCGGCGAAGCGCTGGCGGGGCGTCGTGCGGAACCCCGCGGCGGCGATGGACGCGACGGCGTCCGGCGGCGTCGAGATCACGATCGCGCACGCCTACGGCGCCGGCGGGTCCGTCGACGTGCTCTGGGAGAGCGGCGGGAAGACGCGGGACGCCCGGGGCGAGGGCACGAAGCTCTTCGGCATGGAGCCGGGCGAGCGCATGAAGATCTCGACGTTCGAGGACCACGTCTTCCGCGTCGCGTCCTCCGCGAGCGGCGCGACGCTCACGTCCTTCAAGGTCATGCCGAACCGGCCCACGTTCACCATTGACGAGAACAGCGTCCGGCGCTACGCGTCGACCGAGGACTGCGCGGACACGCACCCGTCGTGCGCGGGGCGCGCGTCGCGCGGCGAGTGCACGAACGCGCCCGGCTGGATGGTCATGAAGTGCAGCCGGTCCTGCGAGTCGTGCCACCTGCGGGACCCGGAGCTCCGGTGCCCGCGGAGCCGGCTCAACGTGCGCCAGGTGCCGGGCCTGCTGCCCGGCGGCGTCGACGCGCTCTACGAGAACCTCGCGGCCGCGTGGCCGCAGTTCAACGTGACGATCCACAGCCGGCCCGGCGGCGACCCGGACGGCGACGACGTCGCCGACGGCCCCTGGATCGCGACCTTCGACGACTTCTTCTCCGAGGCCGAGGGCGCGGAGATCCTCGGCACCGTGAACAACCAGTTCTCGCGATCGACGGACCAGGGCGCCGTCGACAAGTACGGCGAGCAGCAGAAGGTCGTCTCCACGAGCCGCACGTCGGAGAACGCCTGGTGCACGGGCGCCTGCGAGTCGAACCGGGCCACGCGGGCCGTCATGGCGCGCATCGAGGAGGTGACCGGCGTGCCGAAAGAGAACTACGAGTCGTTCCAGGTCCTCCGCTACACCCACGGCCAGCAGTACCGCGCGCACCACGACATGTCCCGCGGCGACAACGCCCTGGCCTGCGGGCCGCGCATCTACACCTTCTTCATGTACTTTAGCGACGTCGAGAAGGGCGGCGAGACGGAGTTCCCCATGGTCAAGCGGCCGTCGGGGAAGACGGTGAAGATCGCGCCCAAGCGCGGGTCCGCGCTGCTCTGGCCCTCCGTGACGTCCGACGACCCGACGGCCCAGGACCCGCGGACGCGCCACGCGGCGCTCCCCGTCGTCGAGGGCACGAAGTTCGCCGCGAACGCGTGGATCCACATGTTCGACTACAACGAGCCCAACATCTGGGGCTGCACGGGCGCCTTCGACTAGGGGGCGCCTAACCGCGGCGCCTCGCAGCCGGCGTAGCCGAAGCAGGCGTAGTCCGCGGCGTAGAGGTCGCAGAGCAGGCGGCGCACGTCGCCGTCGCCGAGGTCCGGCCGCGCGCACGCGAGGCCCGCGGTCGTGTGGTGGTGGCGGCCGAGGACGTGGCGGTCGTGGCCCGGCGGGCTCGCGGCGCCCACGGCCGCGCGGACCTCGGCGAGGTCCTCGCCGACGCGCTCCAGCCGCCCGAGCGCGTCGAAGCGGCGCCCGCCGCGCGGCGCGACGACCGCGAGCTTGAGCGCCTGGGGCCAGGCGTGGAAGGCCTCGCGGCCGAGGTCCGTGCCGTTGGCCAGCTCCTGGAGGAAGGTCTTGAAGCGGCGCGTCGCGCCCGCGGCGTCGCAGGGGATCCCGCGGTACGCGCCGAGGCCGCCGTCCGCCTCGACGGTCGGCTCGAGCTTCTGCGGCCGCGTGCGGCGCCGGCTGATCTGGAGGTAGGCCTTGGCGGCGACCGTTCCCGGCTCGCCGACGATCGAGAAGACGAAGAAGTCCGCGGGCAGCGCCGCGGGCGTCGCGTAGCTCAGCGACGGCACGTCGCCGCGCGGGAACCGGCCCGCGTAGTCGAGCGGCTTCTGCGGGCCCAGGGGGCTGTGGCGCGCCGACGACATGATCATCTCGCTGCCGACCTTCTGGTTGCGGACGTAGAGGATGGTCCCGTTGTAGAGCGCGCCGTCCTGCTGCACCCAATTGGGGGATAGCATCGCCCAGCGGCTGCCCGCGAAGGCGCCCGTCGGGTCGAGCATCCGGCGCATGGCCGACCGGCAGGCCGGCGCGTCGTAGCGCGCCGCCAATGTTCGCGTCGCTGACTCCGCTGTGGCGTGTGCGGCTAGGAGGACGATGGGCAGCCATCGTAGCATGGTGCGGGAGGCTAGCAGCCAGGCAGCGCCGCAGGGCGCGTCTACATGTACATCGCGCGCATAAGTGCTACTAGGCTAGGAGAGATTACAGCCAGGCAGCGCCGCAGGGCGCGACTACGTGTACATCGTGCGCATAAGTGCTTCAATTTAACTTCAATGTTGTCGCTCGCCAAATCGGCTGTGGAGCTCGGTAGCAGGCCGCCGCACATCCATCACATCCATCGCGTCGCACCGCAGCCAACACCAGAGATGGTCAACACGCAGGTCGCCATCTCGGCAGCCACGGCCGTGGGGCTCATCTACTCCATGCGCACCTGCGAGTGGATGACCTTCGTCGCGCTAGTGATCGTGCCCGGCGTCCTCTACGCGCTGCTCGCGGAGCAGACCAAAGCTACGAAACTCCGCGGGAAGACCGTGCTCGTGACGGGCTCGTCCTCGGGCCTGGGCCTCGCCCTCGCGCGCGAGGCCGCGAAGCGCGGCGCGGCCAAGGTCGTGCTCGCGTCGCGGACGAAGGCCGCGCTCGAGGCCGCCGCGAAGCTCTGCGCGGGCGACGCGACCCACGGCTCCTTCGAGGCCGTCGTCGCCCCCTGCGACGTGACGAAGCCCGACGACGTCCGCGCCTTGCTCAAAAATTTGCCGCCCGTCGACGTGCTCGTCAACAACGCCGGCGCGGGCGCGTGGAAGCACGTCGAGGAGACGACGCCCGAGGAGGCCTACGGCATGATGGCCTGCCCCTACCAGGCCGCGTTCACGATGACGAGCCTCCTCGTGCCGACGATGGTCGCGCGCGCGACGGACTGCCACGTCGTCAACGTGACGTCCGCGGCGTCCGAGGTCGGCTTCCGCGGCGCCGTCGGCTACGCGACGGCGCGCTGGGCCATGCGCGGCTTCTCGCGCATGCTCGCCCAGGACCTGAAGCAGCTCGGCATCGGCGTCACGCACCTCAACGCGGCGGAGATCAGCGGCACGTCCTACTTCTCCGACGCGCCCGGCTGTGTGGAAATCAACCAGTGGAATGGACGCGTCCAGCAAAACTTCAAACCTCTCTATCTCGGTCAAATCGAAGTCGATTCGGCTGATTTTTGGACGAATCGATTGCTCTCGTTGAGTTCTCGAAGCACAGCCGAAGAGCTTGCATCGAAACGGTCGCATATGCGCACATTGAAGTCGGGTTGAAGATTTGAATTCCACACAGGCGCCCGGGAAGGCGGGCGCGGCGTCGCACGCGAAGATCCCGTACCTCTTCCAGCTCGTCGACGGCATGGGGCTCAACTACACGACGACGCAGGTCGCGGCGGCGGCGCTCGACGGCGTCGAGAAGGGCTGGTCCACGGTGCTCGTGCCCGGCTTTTTGCTCATCCCGACGAAGATGGTCGCCGACGTCGTCCCGTGCTTCCTCGAGTTCCTCTGCGGCCTCGGACCCGCGGGCCGGCGCGCGATCTAGCTAATCTTGTTCGTGGCCGCGTTCCTATTACGCGAGCCCCCGCGCGCGAAACGTGGGAAACACGCGGCACTCGTCGAGCGCGCCGTCGTCGCCCGCGTCGTCGACGAGGAAGCCCGCGGGACTGTAGGCCGGCTGGCGCTTCGCCTTGGACTTGGCGCGCGCCTTGGCGAGCGCGTCCTGGGGCAGGAGCTTGCTCTGGCGCGAGTCGGGCAGCGTCGCGAGGCGCTCGAGGTCCGCGGGGGAGAGCGCGTGGCTGCTGAGGAACTCGTCGAAGTCGACGGCGCCGTCGACGTAGACGCGGTCCGGCGGCGGCGGCGGCGCGCCGACGGGGTCGACGACGATGGACACGGCCTCGGGCTCGGACCAGGCGTCGTCGGGCGAGCGCCGCGCGCAGAAGGCGAAGCCGTCCGCGCCGACGAACAGCGGCCGCGGCACGTAGAAGACGGAGCCCCCCGCGACGACGCAGGCCCGGCCCGCGAGGCCCCCGTAGGACACGCGCCGGCTCGCGCAAGCGTCGTGGAAGAGGTCGCCGTGCTGCGGGCCGACGGCGATGCGCCGCTCGCCCGCGCCGGGCAGCGGGATCTCGAGCACGGCGCCGACGGCGGCGCCGTCGGCGCCGCGCTCGAGCTCGGGGTCGCTCACGACGACGGCGGGCGCCCGCGCGCCGTCCTCCTCCGGCGCGGCGGCGGCGGACGGCGCGGCGGCGGCGGACGACGCGGCGGCGGCGGACGGCGCGGCGGCGGCGGACGACGCGGCGTCGTCGTCGTCCTCGGGCGGCTCCTCCGTGAGCGTGAAGCCGAGGCGCTCCATGATGCGCTCGACGGAGACGTCGGACGTGGCTTCCGCGATGGCGCGCTTGACGACCTCGGGCGGCGCGGCGGCGCCCGTGGCGGAGACGAACTGGACGCGAGCCCGCGACACGCCCTGGTGCGCGTGGGCCTCGTCCGGCGTCGTCCGGAACGACTCGCGCCGGTGGTCCGAGGCCTGCTTGTGCGCGCTCAGCGCCGCCTGCCACTGGCTCTCCTTGCGCGGCGCGTTGGACAGGGACCGGCGCCGCCGGGCGCGGCGCGGCGCATCGGCGGGCGCCGGGAGCGAGCGATCCGGGGCCGGGGCGGCGCCCGAGGCCGCGTCGGCCATGGCGGAGGCGGCGCGCGCGCAGCCAAGGGCACAAGCTGCGCGGAATCGATGGTCGAGGCTGCCCTAGGACAACAGCAACATGCAAACCTTCTTGAAGTTGGTTGAAGCTCACAAGAGGCCGCCTACGCTGGAATGATTATGGCGTCGAGTTTTTCACAAGCGTGCTCGCGTATGCCATTGCTTTGTGCCCTCTGCGCGCTCTGCCTGCCGCGCGCACACGCGCTGGCACTGCCGCGCAGCCTGCCGCTGCGGCAGACGCCGCCGCGCAGCCTGTCGCTGCGGCGGACGCCGCCGCGCAGCCTGCCACGACCGCGGCCATCATCGACCGCACTGGACGCTTTGCTGGCGCCGACGGACCACGTCGGCTTGAGCGCGTCCCTCGTGGGCGCCGCCGTGCTCGGCCGCTCCGCGGGCCTGCGGACGCGCGCCGGACGAGCGCTCGGCGGGCCGGTGGCGGCGATGGCGATCACGTTCTTCGCGAGCTCCTGCGGAGCGCTCCCCGGCGACGCGAGGGCCGTGGCGCTGGTCCGCGACGCGGCCGTGAAGCTCGCGACGCCGCTGCTGCTGCTCGACGCGGACGTGCGCGAGCTCGCGAAGGCGTCGCGCGACTACGTCCTCGCGTTTTCGGCCGGCGCCGCCGCGACGACCGCGGCGGCGTTCGCGTCGGCCGCGCTCTTCCTGCCGGCCGTCGCCGCGGCGCTGGGCCGCGCCGACGCCGTCGGCGCCGTCGCCGCGCTGACGGCGAAGAACATCGGGGGCGGGGTGAACTTCTGCGCCGTCGCGGCGACGCTGAAGACGGGCGCCGTCGCGCAGTCGGTCGCGCTCGCGGCGGACAACGTCATGGCCCTCGCTTATTTTCCGCTGTGCTCCTGGCTCGCCGGCGACCGGGATCCGTCGCCCGCGGCGGCGGGGGACGCGCGGGCCGGGCGGCGGGCGGACGTCGACGCCGGGTCGCTCCTCTCGGCGCTCGGCGTCGCGCTCGGCGTCCTCGGCGTCGCCGAGCGGCTCGCGCCGGCCGCGCCCCTGCCCTGCGCGACGCTCGTGAGCCTCGCCCTCGCGGCGGCGCTGCCCCCGGCGGCGCGGAGCGACGCGCGCGCGACGCTCAACGCGTCGGCGAACGTGCTCTCGGAGCTGCTCCTCTACCTCTTCTTCGCGGGCGCCGGCGCGGCGGGCGGCGCGGCGGGCGCGGTGCTCCTCGGCGCGGGCCCCCCGCTCCTCGGCTTCCTCGTCTGCCTCTACTCGGGCCACGCGCTCGCGCTCGGGTTCGTCGGCCGCGGGCTCCTCCGCGTCCCCGTCGCGACGCTCTGCATCGCCTCCAACGCGTGCATCGGCGGGCCCGCGACGGCCGCCGCGCTCTGCGCGGCCAAGGGCTGGGACGGCGCGATCCCGCCGGCCATCTGCGTCGGCACGCTCGGCTACGCGGTCAGCACGTTCCTCGGGCTGGCCATGGCGCGCGTGTTGTAACGACGTGTTACATGGCGCGCGTGTTGTACGAGTAACCACGTGTTACAGGCCGGCGAAGGGGTCCTCGGCGGGCGCGGCCGCCCGCATCGACGGCGACATCGTCGACGGCGGCGGCGGCGCCATCGCCGGCGCCATCCCTGGAAGCGGCGAGGCCGGCGTCCCGTAAAACTGTTGCTGGGGGGGCTGCTGGCCGTAGTGCTGCGGCGAGTACCCGTGCGCCTGGGGCTGGCCCGGCGCCTGGTACGCGACGGGCGGGTACTGCTGCTGCACGCCCGGCTGCGGCATCCGCTGCATGCCAGGCTGCTGCGGCATCTGCTGCATGCCCGGCTGCGGCATTCGCTGCTGCGGCATGTGCTGCATGCCATGCTGCGGCATTCGCTGCTGTTGCATCTGCTGCATCCCCGGCTGCGGCATGTGCTGCATGCCAGGCTGCGGCATTTGCTGCATGCCCGGGTGCGGCATGTGCTGCATGCCCGGCTGTTGCATCTGCTGAGGCATGAAACCCTGTTGCTGCTGCTGCTGCATTTGCGGCGGCCGCTGCTGCTGCTGCGGCGGCGGCGCGAAGCCGGGCTGCGGCGGGAACGGTTGCTGCTGCGGCGGCGGAAACTGCTGCATCTGCTGCTGCTGCCGGAGCGCGTGCAATTGGATGAGCTGCTGCTGGAGCTGCTGGAGCTCGGCGAGCTGCCGTCGGAGCTCCGCGTCGTCCGGCGGCGGCGCCGCCGCGGCGACGACCGCCGGCGCGGCGACGACCGCCGGCTCGGGGCTCGGCGGCTTCGGCGGCGGCTCGCGCGGCGCGACGGGGCTCTGCGGCTGCATGCGGTTCCAGAGCCGGCGGTGGTCGGACCGGTCGACGTAGAACCGCGCGTCGAGCGTGATCGCGCCGTCCGGCGCGCGCTTCGAGTTCTCCGGGTGGAGGAACGTGACCCACTCCTCGTAGGACGGCGCTATCGTCCCGCGGCTCATGTCCTTCAGGAAGGCGACGAGGTGGTCCTCCATCTCCTTCATGCACGCGCGCGTCGCCTCCTCGCGCAGCCGCTCCAGCGAAGCCAGGTCGTCGGCGTCCGCGTCCTCGAGGCCGCCGGCCGACGACGTCGACTGCGCGTTGGTCGCGCCGCGGAGCGCATCCTTGAGAGCGGCGATCTTCGCCGCCGTCGCCGCGATCCTGTCCATTCGTGCGCCTGGAGACACTCACACGAGCGCTACGAAAGCCTTCCCATGTTCACCCTGTGAGCTCTGGTTGAGGCCTCCATGCTCTGGTTCAGGCCTCCATGCTCGGCGCAGCCAGCTCGTTGCCGCCAACCAAAGAACTTGCCCCCCCGCCGGGGTTCGACGTAACGAAAAAAGTAACCCGTTTTTAAGTCGTTGGCGCCGATTGTAAGTCGTAGGGTAAGTCGTCGGGCCCCGGGGTAAGTCGTTGGGCTCGCCAAAACGGACGGATGACTGGGCACTCGCCAAAACCCGCGGGCTGCTAATAGTTTTTATTACTGCTTAGCGAACGCGACCCAGTCCGTGCCGTAGCCGCTCTCGCGGAACTTGACCTTGGTCATGACGAGGTTGTGCTTGGTCAGCTTGAGCTCGTAGGAAAACTTGGTCTTGAGCACGGTCGTGCCGTCCGAGGCCAGCGTGTCCTTCTTCTTGTAGTTGACGACCTTGCCCAGGTCCCAGACGCCGTCGTCGTCGATCTTGGCGATGCGGCAGCCCACGAGGGCGGGGCCGAGCTCCGGCATCACCGGGTTCGAGTAGTGCGTGAGGCCGTGCTGCGCGTTGAACGTCTCGCGCCGGGCGTCGGCGGCGCCCGACGCCGCGATGGCTTCGTTGTGGGCCGCCGTCTTGACGTCGAGCGCGATTTCAGCGGCCTTGCGCTTCTTCTCGTTGTTGGCGGCCTTGGCCTTGGCCGCCGCGACGCCGCTCGCCGCGC